CAAAATGTTCCAAGATCCTGCCAGTGGAGAGGCATTACAAATACAAAATGTTTTCCCCAGCATGACATTCACTGCCTCTGCCCTCCACGTCACAGCCTATGCACATTCTCAGAGAAACATTGCACAAAGTAGGGGTGCTGGAAAGTCTTTATTATTTTTTTATATTTTTTGCATGTCCAGTCCCAAAAGAGAAGAAAACAGTGATGAGAAAAAGCAGGTCACATCGAACGAGTGTCTCAGTTGGAGGACATAGTGGCTTGGATCCAGGAGACGTAATTGCAAACCTTGGTGTAAACTCCAGGATAGCCTTTCTGGGCACATCCAATGCCCCAGGAAACAATACCCTGGAGCTGTCCGTTGCAGACCACTGGACCGCCGGAATCTCCCTGTGCGCACAAAGGATACAGGTATTCAGGAAATGGCATCAGCCTAAGCAATGAGCCAGAGATCCCCGAAATCACTGACATTGGAGGAAGCTCCATCGGCCTTTATCTACACAAAACTTCTACAAAGGTCATTTCTCATTAGCACTCTCCATCTGATGCTACCATGCCTGACTTTAGCAGCAAGGGCACCACAGCTAAGGAGGAGGAAGCTGCCTGTTTTTGCCGGATGTGATCCTTGGCAGACACTTAGGATATGTGTGCCCTCAGCCTCCTCTGTCCTTCAAAAAAACCAACATTCAGACATGTCAGTGCAGAGAATATAGCAGATTCTGTAATCTGAAGGCCTCTTCTGCTGGGAAAAGGCAGGAGAGAAACAAATGGGAAGGGAAGGGCAGATGATTTACCTGGCAGGAGTCTTTTCCGCCCTCCAGGAATCCTACACACATCATGTTCTTGGTAATTTGCCCAGGGTAGGCATCGGAGCAGGCGGCGGCGGAGAGTACGGGAGCCTTCAGGCACTGCAGTGTGTCTGGATAGTTACCTGCAAGAAAAGAGGGAGAGATGGTTGATAACACCACCGAGTCCTTTCAGAGCCCAGAGAAGATCTTTCTTAGCACAAAAGTAACTGCTGGACATCCTGTCCTTGCACTTGTCCTTTTTCCTCGGAACAGTAACCACAGCAGGGATTCCTCCTGTTGAGATGGAACAGATCCCAGCCATGGGACCACCATTCTGCACTGCAGGCACCTTAACCTTTCTGCTACCTGGGAAATCATCAATTGGCAAGTGTGGAGCCCCTCTTGGAGCACATGTGTTGGAAGAAACCTGAGGCTCAGAAATGCCATCCTGTCCCCTGGTACAGGTTTAGATGCTGTCGGTGGATTAGGCATCAGTCACCATCCACACTTGTGACCATTGGTAAAAGATATTGGAGGTTTCTAGTAGGAATTCTGGATCCACAATCCCAGATTTTGCTCTGGTTTTTCAAGCACAGCTGAGAGCGTTGGGCCACAAAAGCTGTGGCAGTGTGAATGTGCTGGCAAATGGCACATGGGTGACTTCAGTGATTCCATGTTCGTAACACAGAATGGGAGAAAGGATGTCGCTAAGGTTTACCATTACCGCAGTCAAACGGTAACAGTCCAACATTTAGTCATGACTCACAAAGACCTTTCCCACAGCATTTGCCTGTGCTTTACCCTGTCCTGTTTGGAGTTAATGGTGAGGCCTTAGAGAGTCTCCTAGGCCCCCAAGGGGCTGTACATTCCCACTGAGTACTCACTGCCACTGCTGAGTGTGTTGCCCCAGCCAGAGATCAGGCATGTGGTGCCTGTGGCTGCACAGCTGGTAGGCAGAGGAACGGTTTGGATGGCTTTGCTGAGCTGGGCTGGGGTGGAAAGCTTGATGAGCATGATGTCATTGTCCAGGGTATAGGCGCTGTAGCCAGAGTGGCGGATGACTTTAGCCGAGTTGATGAACTGCTGAGTTGATTCCGTTAATTCCAGGTTATGTTTCCCAAGCTGCACTTGGATGCGACTGGAAAACACAAGGCACAGCATGTACTTTACCGCTAGCAACTGGTTAAGAGAAACCTCCCTGTCACTGTATGCACTTGCTTCAACATTGCTGCTGCAGTAGCTATTTCTGCAGGGTATCATGCCCTGCAGTAAGCACTGGGGATCCACATGGAGATCTTAACCCACACTCAGTACAGGTGGTGAATTTCTGCAGGTTTATGTATCCATAACAGCTAAATATGCCATGGCACTTTATACAAACATTGCAGGGAAAGGCAAACTGCAATCAGCCCCATTCCTCTTCCGCCAGTGACTATACTTTAGCGAGATTCACACAATTGATAAGAAATCTCAGTGCTCAAATATCCCATTGTCCTTTCAGAAAGTGCTCTGCATTCACAGCAGCATTTGCAGAAGTGGAAAACCCCTTTGGATGCCTCAGCCCTGCTTCCTGAATGAGCCACCCATCCCTTGGCCATCTCCAGACAGAATGGAGGCACTTATGTATCTGCATCACATAGCTCAGAGTTCCTGCTAGAAGTGAACTGAAAGAAAGAAGTGGGATTTAGGAGAATGTATTTTTTTCTACTCACGATTTGTAGCAGTGAGCAGCTGACAAGACCCACTGGCTGCTGATGAGGGAACCTCCACAGAAGTGATATCCAGAATTCAGGGACACCTGATAGGGAACAGAGTGCTCTGCACAGGTGTAGCCTCCCACGATCTTGTCATCATCATCATCAGCGAAGGTGGGGAAGGCAACTGGAGATAAGAAATGGCTTATGTCAACATCTGGCCTGAGTTCCTGTGTGGCCTGTGACTGACTGTCTGAAGCACTGACTTGTAGGCTTTACTTCTATAAACTATCAGGTTAGCAGTGGTGGGCAAGTCTAATGGACATACAGTCTCTGCATCCTGAAATAATGTGATCAGGCTTAGACTGCTGTCTCAAGTATCTACAACTACTGCACTGCCTGCCGCTCTCAGACTAATATCAGAAAGGTTCTTCTTGGATCAGATCAAAGGTGAGTGCTTCCCAGGCCCCTGTCTGCAGGAATGGTCAATAGTGGGCCGAGCACAAAAGCACAACATGCATCTGCAGTGATAATTCCTTGGAGCACCCACCCAGAGTCCCTAAATCTACTGCAGATTTAAGACTACCAGAGCCAGATGTGTTACCCGTGTATATTTTGTTTAAGAGAGATGCAGTCTTTTTCTGAGGCTGTGGCCACATCTCTAGTCTTGGGTCAGGAACCTCAAAGAAGACTTTCCTTCCCCATGAGTGAGACATGCATTTAGGAAGAGATAGAAGACAGAAGAAGTTGCAGTGCTCTGTCTTAAAACTTCTTCAAGTTGAAACTGGACTTGACTTTCCCACAGAGGCTACCTTGCAAATTTTCTCAGAAAATGAACGTCCTTATAAATTACAGAAATAGAAGCAAAAAATATACTCACCAGCCACCCCAATAAAGGCGAGAAACAGTAGGCACTTCATGGTCTTGACTCAGCCTCAAGCCCAGATAGGTTGACTGGAAGTGAGAGCTGCTAGAAATATGTTTTAGGAACTGGCCTTATCGCTAGTCCAAGGTCTTCTCAGGCAAAAAGTACACAGTGGAAAAATTTGAAGATCCAAATGTGGGCATTAACAGGCCTCATGGAAAGTACAAATAACATATCCATAAATCACAAACCTGTCCTAAGATAGGGAGCTATTTCACAGTTCTGCCTTCAATTTTAAAGTACCTTTTGGCTTTGGAAGATGTGTAGTTGTTTGTCTCATCCTTATACATATCACCTGTTGAGAACAACCCTCAAACTCTTTTGAGAGTCCTCTGTGCTGAAGGTGTCAGTGTTATAAATGTGCAGTTTTACCAGAAGTGGAATATTGTAGGTAGTGGACTGAAAGATACAATGCATTTGTTTGGAAAGAAAAAGCCAACTACCCGAGTGGTTAACATTTTGATGTTTATTTTAGCAAATTCCTTTTCTTGAATAATGTGTGTGTCTTTTTGTCATACCGAACACATGTTTTCCAAAATAAAATTCCTCAAAAGTAATTTGAAAGAGGAGGGTGAAAAGAACTATTTTGTGCCCCCACCACCTCCCAAGTTAAGTAGTTCATATGTTGCAGTGCTGACCATCTCCCTTTCTTAATTTCTCTCTCCTAATCTATCAGCCTAAGTACCAAATAATATTTATTTATCTTTGGAATGTTTTACAGGGACTCACTTTTGCCACAGAAGAATTTCCATATTATGTTGATGTTTACAAATGTAATAGATACAAACAATAACACTGTGAACCCAAATAGTCAGATCTTCTGAAATCCTTCTCTGGAAGAGTGATGATTTCTGTCCTGATGCAAAGTTTAGAAAGCTTAATGCTTTGACAATTAATCGCTTTGCGAGTCACTGCCAACTTTGTCATGTTAGCTCCTGAAAGACATGGGATATTCTCAAGACCATTAAACAGAAGCCATATGCTTTGAGATGTGGGAATAGCATGAGAGACTGAACAGGTATGCTCTTTCTACTCCATTTCTTGATCCATTTTTTGAGAGTCCTGGCAGACTGATAGCCGCAGTGGCACGGTCCAGATGGAAATTTTGCATCATGTTAAATGACAAG